GGGGGGGATTCTGTTAAGACAGGTTTCTGTTTTATACAGGTTTCCGTTAAGGCAGGTTCGACTGTATACAAGCTTTATATTGTCCAATATAACTCGATGTATGCCAAAAAATTGACAACCACCTGATTCCAGCGTGTAGTGACGCATATATGACTGCAAATCAGCAGGGGAATAAACTATGTAGCACATCTAGCAACTATAAATTATAGCTCTATGGTCTACTCTTTCTTACATAAAAATTACCTGTGGAATGGACATATTTGAACTAACAGTTTAGAAGTTTTAGTTTCTGAGTAAAAGAGATGGTGATATATCATTCTCTTTTCATAAAATGATATGTTGTTTCTGAGGTTATTGAATATTTCATTAATAAAAACGTATCTGAATATAATATAGTTAACCACGTGTACAAATTTGTGTCTCTCAGGAAAAGGCAATGAAGACAAACGAGGACAGTCCATAGCCCTGAGTGTCGCAGAGAAATCGTGGCTCTACTTGAATGGTCAGCCAGTCATCTGCAATCGTCTGATGGAGGTAGCTGCTATGGTCTCAGCTGCTAACCCTTCCATCAGTATGACCATGGACAGCATAGAAATGGGCGCACTTCAACAGGTAAGGCAATGTGAAGTGACTGTTCAGTCTGTGAGTGTTATATATATACAGACCTGCCACCTATCCCGATTTAATATCGGGAATCCATATTTTTTTTCCTAAAATCTCAAAACATCCCGATTTTCCTGATTTTGATCGCATGTAGCCTGATTTTTTGTGCCGTCTGTTGCACTGGATTTTTCTGAAAATTTACTCTGCCTTCTTCTCTGTCGCAGAGAGCACCCATTAAACTTTTTGTCTGCAAGAACTTCGAGCACTATTTTTAGAAATTTGACGCTGGATTTAGTAGTTGACTCACCCCAAGTTGTGTTGGATCTTTGTGCGTACACGTTATTTCAACTATAATGGAAGTAGTGCCAATTTGACAGTCCGACTTGGCACACTCTTAAGATCTACTTTCGCTTTTATTACCACTCAGAATTCTCAGATGATGGCTATTATAACTGTTTCTATTGCTACATACAAATTATCAAAATTATTCATAGTTCTGCTGTTGCTTTCAAACAAGCTCTGTCCAAGTTCTGGTTTGTCAGACGCGTCATCAAGACCCGTCTGTAAAACTGTTTCAGTTGTGTGTTCGCATCACGTGACTTCGGCGTGTGAGTTGTGTGGGAGACCATCCGTTGACAGGGTCAACCTAAGTTCATGCTCGCTGGTTTAAGCTTCTTTCGAGAATTAAAAAAATTGATCACACACACACACACACACACACACACACACACACACACACACACACACACACACACACACAGAGGGCATATTCAATATGGATAATATTTATGGACAGCCTTGGAAATTTTTAAAGTAAGCTTGGCAATCACTTGGGTGATTTGTCGTTGATCCTGATTTTTTTTTCATCAAATCCCGATTTCCCCCCTGAGATCCTGATTTCTGGATTTCATAAAGTGGCAGGTCTGTTTTATTGTGTGTGTCATGGCACAGTAGAAGGAGATGCTCCTCAATTTTTGGGCAATTGGAGAAATTGGAATTATCTTAAAGTTTTTTCATTTGTCTTGCCTTATTTGAAAAATCCTACCTATCTTAAATAGAGAGAAGTCAAGATATTTGCAATTAAAGGAGGTGGGGTTGCCTAGTGTCAGACGTATAAGTGAGAAAAGGGCCGCCAAAGTTTGGTGAATTCCAAAGCTTGAGTGTCCTGGGAAACTGTATATTTACATTTTTTGTGCCCTTGATCCACTTTTTAAGAGTAAAATCTGTGCACAATGTGTTTTAAAATGGATACAATAGGTGTTGAGCTAAAAAAAAATAAAAAAATTGAGAAAAATAATTGCTCAATGGCCACAAAAATTCCGGTTTCTTTGTTTCATTACATTGACGAGCGCTCGATTTTACTACAATGCTGTTTTTGGTTTGTTTTTTTTATAGTAAATAACGTGACTTGAATGTTTTTGGGTTTTTTTGTGTTTTTACTTAAAAACTGTAAAAGTTTGTCTCAATCTGAAGTGTAAATTGCTCATAACCTGAGATTTTCGTCATGGCAAGGTGCCACTTTAAAACTTATTATTTGGAGTTACGATCACACTGTTTAGCTATGACAATGAAAACTTAAATATTTATCCAAATTGCTTTAAAACAGGTAAATATGAAAGAGAGCTAAATTCTAGGGACACTGGTTTATTAATTTAAAATTCCACTAATAAATGAATAAGTATGCGTTGCAATATTTTGGGGGACCTTTTTATTGAAAACATTGCAAAAATTGAGATACTTCTTGATGTATATGAGGAAAAACTGTTAGTAAATTAGTAATGGATTGGAGCGTATGAATGAAACTAGGCATCCTTATGTGATTTTTAGTGAAGAGCCAAGTTCTGCTATCACTTTCTTGATGTCTATTACTTCTGGATCTTAAAGACTAATATTTGCTTGAAAATTTGTTGAATTGCGCGACGTTTCTTGAACTGGCCTTTTCCTCTGATTGGTTGCCAAGTTTCATTCTTTTTCGTCCTCGGGTTTTCCCGTAACAATACTGAGAAGAGAGCTACCTCTGGTCCCGAATGGCCCAAAAAATTATGCCTCGTGCGGAGACCTATTTCTGATCAAAAGCGTATTGGGCGATTGACATTTCTACCTGTAAAATATGATATGAAGTTAGTTGAATGTTGGTTGTTGACTTGAACTGAAGTCACTCTTACTAATTTTGATAATTCTATGGGCAATTAGTTGTTTTTTTTACCCCTAACCCTTCAGTGCCACTTTTCTGTGTGGTTTCTTTGATTATTTTTTAGCAGGTGGGCACTTGAATGTTATTTGCTTGGCTCTGCAGTATATTGCAGTTTTGTTTATGTTGCCTTTTTCCTTTGCAAAGAGGTGATAGCAATAGATCAAGTCGATGTAGTTTTGTTTCACATACTTTTTAAAAAAATCATTGCTTTCTCTTAATCAATTTTTTAAAATCCTCTCCCCAGGAGCTGTTGTGGCTGCTGTATGATGAAAGTCACCTCTCAAAGTAAGTTGTAGATGCAAAAATAATGATTTTAACTCATGAATAAAATACTCTGGATGCTCATGATAGTTGCAGGTGATTGTAGCACTCTGGTACCTGAGCTGTTATCTTCTCTTTTGAGACAAACGAATGTTGTTGTATTCACCCTCAAAATATTTTTTTATAATATGCTTTAGAACATAAAAAATCTGTGTGGGTAGACTTTAAAATGGCTTATCATACCAAAATAATGTAAACCAAACTGTGCCAGTTGTAGAGTTAACAGAGGTAAAATTATCAAAAACATTTCACTTTGTTTCTGTAAGATTTCACAGTAAATCTTCAGCCTTGAAAATTTGTCTGTGGTGATTTTTTGTGTAAAGAGTTGTTGTGAAAAACAGTAAAATATCTGACTGCTGTAAAGATTTTCTTTTTTCCTTTCTTTCTTTTTTCCTTTCTTTCTTTTTTCTTTCTTTCATTTTTGCTTGTTTTACTTTCCTTGTTTTTTTGTTTTTTTATAGTTACAGGAATATTTCACCGCAGTATGTACCCAAATGTGTTTTTTTCCTTGTTTGAACCCAGGTACCCTATGGCTCTGGGCAACCTTGGAGACCTAGAGGAGATCTCCCCTACCCCTGGTCGACCGCCACCTCTCTCGTTATTCCAAGAAGCCATCAGTTCATCGGTGAAGAACTATGCGAACCATCACGTGTACCCTTACACGTATATGGGTGGCTACCTTTACAGAAAGCGGCGCTACAAAGAGGCCATCAAGTGCTGGGCTGAAGCATCTAATGTCATTAGAAAGTAAGTTGCATCTGTCTTAGAATGCTGGTTAAGTCTCACCCGCGATGGACTAACGGGAGCATAGCTGCTGGTATCCCAGGTCTACTGCTATCTTGTCAGCTGATGTTTTTTGTTTTTTTTAGGTCAGGATGTGGTAGACAAAACCCGTCCTTTTTGTGAGATCAAATGGTAAAGGGTCAATTAGTGACCTTTCATGCATGAAAAAATATTTGCTGTTTTTTTAAGCGCTCATTGGTTTGTTTTCGGTCCAATCTTGCCTGTCGTCTATGATAGTTATCCTGTTTAACCTTTTGCCACTCGGAGGCGCCGATGTGCGCCGTCATCGCTAACCCCCGTAGTCGCCGATGTGCGCCGACACACCTACTCGATTCACCCGTTTGCACTACTTTCGTTTCTACGTTGTCTTGCTTCCTGCGAGGTCGCACGAGATTGCCAAGCTTATAGCGAGAATCTAGAGTGATTGCCCTTTACTGTCGTGTTTATTTGGTGAAAATCGATCGAAGCACGAGAGAGCGACGATTTTTTAAATTTCATGCTTTTTAGAGACCTAAATCTAACTTCGTGGACGAAATTTTGCGTCGCTACAGGCACTGTATACGATGGAGACACTTATTATTGGGATTTAAGTGCTGATATAGTCGACCAAGGGGCTAGATCTAGTGCTAGTAGTAGTAGTAAGTAGTCACTCGGTCGTGAGAGAGAGAGAGCGAGAACTATAGTATAGTAGTAGGAGAGCGAACACGATGTCACAGTCACAGGTCTAGATCTAGGCTCTCGGGGAGGGGAACAACTATGATACTGATGTTGATTGACTCTGATGAAGAAGATAGGCCTAGCACCCACAGCACTTTAGCTAGATCTAGTACTACTAGCTCTACTACTACGTAAAAAAGGGAGGAGCAACACTGGGACTGTGGGCGCTGTCGTCAGTGTCACAACAATCCTTTTGAGCACGTTGTGATCAGGGTACGTGGTAAAAAGGGGTCATGCCACTACTGTGTAAAGGCCGGAAACGTTACAAAGCTTGGCAGAGGGAGTGAGACAGTGACAGGATGCTATTTGGGCCAGGTTAGGCTTTGCAAAAGACCGTGCTGGGTAAAACATCATGAATTTCTGTGGGCATAAAAAGCGGGTTGTGTCTTTTGGTTGTTTTTTTTTTCACTTCAGAATGTTTTTTTACCTAATACACAATGATTTTTCATACAAAACCATACATTTTCTTGAAGTTTATTCATATATCTGTGCTCTGACACCTAAACTGTAATTTTAGCCTCATCCTCTGATTTTTAATGATTTTTTAAAATAATATAGTCATGCAGTCTAAGCGGAGTTAGGTCCCTTTTGCCAGACTTTCAGCCTTGTTGGGCAAGGATAGCTCTGAGGGTGAATGGGTTAAAGGGTTAATGAAAGTGGATAGGGCTATTACAATTTTTGCATATTTATGATTTTGTGTGAATGTAGGTCAGTCTTCATCAAGGTCACTGAATTGCAAGCTTTAGGTTGAATGGTGCGACCCTGTTTTTGTTTGTTGTTGTAACCACCTTTGACTCTGATGCAGTGAAGTGTAAAAATACTGCGTCAAAGTGGTGATATGACAGAAAGCACCAATAAATGAAAGGGTCTAGCTTGCACAAGATTCCTTCTTGTGTGCATGTTGCATTTATGAGAGCAATTAACACTCTCCCTCTCCTTTTCCCCCCTTTTCTTTTTTCTAGACATAGCATGTTTTTAAAAAAAAGGATCTAAGACACAGCTAGTGATAAAGATGGATGCAGAAAACTTAATGATAAAAAATTATTTAATTGAAATGTTTATATTTAAAGGGTCTGATGTTCATCTGCTGTGCAGTGGGGAGAGGCCATTTCTGCTCTAATTTAATTGACTGTTCCTAAAATTTTTATCTCCGAGGGGGGTAAACCCACTATGCCGGAGCCCTTGTTTGGTACTAAATCTAAAAAGCATGAAAATGTTGCTATATTACTAATTAAATCAAGACAAGTGAACCTATTTTGATAGTTCTACCTCTTATGAATGAAATCCCAATAAAAGAGACCGGTTTTCAGCAATTTGTTGAAGTCATAGTAAAGGAATTTGCCCGAACCACTGTCAGCAGCTCACCGGCACAGCGGTTCCGACCGTTAACTGCTGGTAGCGGCTTGCTTGAGATGAAAAGAATGATGGTGATAGTCTTGGGTGCGTGACAGCATTCTTGTCAAAGGGAAAACAGTAACTGAGAGTAACATTTTTCTCACATGAGTATCAAAGTGCTACCTTGATGTTTTCTGTGTTTTTGTATGATTTCAGTCTGGTTATGCAATGTTTGCATGTCAGTATTATATGGGAAAAGGATGTTGAGATCACTCTCCTGCTCCCTTTTTACTGAGAAATTGGCGTTGGAAGAGTATCCTGATGTTTTTATTTGGTGTGGGAACATTGATTTTGGAATTTTGAACTGCTTTTTACTTGTACTGGTCGGTGAAAAACTATGTTTAGTGTTGTTTTAACCTTGCTTCATGTAATTTGTAGAGACTGCAAGGATCTTTCTGTTTCTTAAAGGTTTACCCACATGGAAAATAAATTTTTCTTTGTATCAAAGGAAAAGAACTGCGGTAAAATATTTATCTATTCATGCATTTCGTTTATGCCAAATATGTTGCATGTGAGGATGTCTGAATACGAATATGAGCTTTTTTCAAGGTAAGCCTATAGGATTTTTTGTCTCTGTTCAACAGGTTCAACTACACGAGAGAAGATGAAGAAATTTACAAAGAGTTTCTGGAGATTGCGAATGAACTGATTCCCAACATAGTGAAGGCAGTGACCCTCAACACACTGGACCATGAACAGCTGAACCTGCTGTATGACCCTGTGGTCTATGGAGACATCTTGCGGTTCTACGACGGGATTTGTGAGTGGGAGGAAGGGAGTTCGACTCCTGTGTTGCATGTGGGCTGGGCTCAGCATCTCACGTTTTCCCTCAATAAATTTGACCCAAGGACAAGAGCCAAAATTGATGTTGGGAAAGATGAGGATGAAGAAGATAAAAAGAGTGATGATGAAGAAGATGGGGAGGAGGTGGACGGGAAGAAAGTTGTAGATAACAAAGGTGGGGTTCAAGATTCTGAAAACGGGAAAGGTAAAGCGGCAGTCCAGAAAGACCCACTGAAAGTAGTGGTGGAGGAAATGAAAGAGGTCAGCAAAGAAGATTTGACGCTTTCTGCTCCAGAGGCAAGTCCTCTTGGCCAGAGAGTGACAGCTAGAGGTCGCAAAGGTCAGAGGAGAAGGATGTCTGGGACCGCCAAATCTGCCGCGAGTGATTCGATCAAAAAGGGGAACATGGACGAGAACAGCAATGCCGAAGATAAGATCAAGTCAACTATCGAAGAGCTGGCCTCCAAAGTTGGGAAAGAAGAACACACACAAGCCGCGGCTCCCAACCCCAGCATCACAGCGCTGGCACAGCAGTGCAGCCTCAACATCCTGAACAAAGACTACTTACTGGGGGCCGGAGAGCCCTTCTCCTCCTCGTCCCCGTCGACGGTTGCTGCAGTTTCTGCCACGTCGGAAGAGCCATTCACCACTAGCGCGGTCACGACCAGCGCGGTCTCAGGGACGGACGTCTTAGATGAGTTCCTTAGCTCCAAGTCCAATGGAAGCGCCTTCATCGGGCTGACGATGGACTCGATGCTCAAGGCAGAGAGCCCAGCAGACATGATGTTGACGATAAAGCGGGCCGACGACGTCACGAAAGCTGCCCCAGCACCATCACCGTCCCCGTCTCCCACAGCTGAAATGTTAGCGTCTCTGTCCCCTGTTCAGGTAGAACTTCGCAGTGAGAAGATGAAGGGTCTAAAGATGATGTTCAAATCCACCAAACTCAATGCCAGCGCGATCAAGCTTCAGCTTACAGCTCAGTCGCAAGTTCACGTGAAGGATTCTCGTTTTCTGGATTTCTGTGAGCCCACTGGTTCTGTGCGAAAGCGGCCGAGGAGAGAAATTTTGTAAAGGAGGTCGACCCAGTTGTTTGATCAGGACATCTGCGCATGTTATCCTCTTTTTTTTTTCTCTGTAACCATAGAAACAAATTTACCTGTGACAGTGTTAAGAGTTCAGATATTCTTTGAGTTTCACAGTGGTCAAGGGAAGGTCTCTTGAAATTGAAAATTGAACTATAAATCAATGCAGAATTTAATGTAACATTGAGTTGTCATAAGAAGTGAAGAGCCCTGTGACTGAACAGAAAAGTCATGAAATTTCTGTCCTATAAAAAAAAAAAAAAAACTACCGACCCGAGGTCAGAAGAACATGCCAGTGAGTTGCATGGTACATTAATTTACGTTCAGTGTCCCTGTTTTGCTGCTTTTATTGTCCAAAAACAAAAACACAACTGGAATCTGCTTTCCAAAGATTGATCAAGATCTGTGACTCTTGTTGTTTGTGTTCACATAAGGGGAAGACGCAATATGAATGTACATCCTTTTGTATGTATTCAGTGTTATTGGCTGTCTCAAGCTTTCTGTATATCTCCCACTTTGTTGAATATTGGGGAGGAAAATTGGGTTGTTGCACCTGTTTTCACCCATGCTGCATCATGTTGTATTGGACATTCCAGTTGCTATTGCAGATTGTCAATGATATCATGTACGGAGTCAAAATCCTTTCTCTTCATCATGTTTTGGCTGTGGCCATGTCAAGCTGTTTTGTTGTTTTTTTCTTGTGAAGGGTGCGCTTACTCTTTGATTTTAACACAGCCGTTTCCTATTGAAGTTTTGCCGTTTGTGTGGATTATATTTCTATGACAGGAATAAGATGGTTGAAAGTGTGTGTTTGTGCACAATCAGATTGAGACCAAAGAAAAATTTGCTTATGGTGTTGTTGTTTTTTTTAATGTGCAGTGGGAGAATATAATTGCCACATGAAATGTTGATCATGCAGTAAGTTTTTGTGCTTTCTCGATTAGTTGTGGTGTTTTTGCTTCCATTTATGTCACAATATTGAAGGTGTTGTATGTGTAATCCATTTCTTTTGCAGTAAGGCTATGTTAATTTCTAGAATAGTATGACGACAAAAATTTGTTGTAAACTGCTTTTGAAAGCACATGTTCTGTAGTTGATGTTTCATATCTTTGCAGAAACCAGAACGCAGAAACAGATACTTAGCGCTGACTTTTAAAGTTTTTATAAATCATTTTGTTTATTGATATATTCATTAGTAATTCGCGAATATAAATGGAGGAAAATGGAATTTTTTGGTATTGCTTTTCTTGAGAAAGACTTAACTGTAACTTCTTAATAGAATTGTCGCAGCTATCTGTGCGAGATGTACTTAATTGTTTCTAGGTTCTGATTATAGATTTGTATTTCAATAATTTCATGATACTTTGAGAAACTTGGATCATATTTTTCTTATTTTGAAGTTGATTTTTCTTCGTGTCCTTATTTTATGTAAAGAGAAATGAGTTTGAAAAAGTTGGAATGTTCATACTTCATATACATGAGGTCATCAGCTCTTAATTTTTATAAAACTTTTAGGAAGGTCAAACTTTATTTATGACAATATGACATTTATTTGTTAAATGCTGTTTTCTTGTACATTTCTTTCTTTTCTTTCTTTTTTTTGGGTTTTTTTTTGTTGACAATTATTGTTTCTGATCATCATGTTCTAGTCGCAGAAATACTTATTTCATAAATTATTGTCTATTGTAGTTTACAGTTTGTTTAAGTCTTTTTGAAACCCGGTTTTTTGTCAGGAAAACTGGGGACATTTTTTTTTTTTTGCTTTTTGGGTTAGCATTAGTCACTTTTTCATAAAGCATTGACTTGGAATTTTGGTACCGTATTGGTTCAGTGATGAACTGTGATCTCTGTGAAACAAATTTTTACATTCAAATGTGATTTTGACGTTACATGGTTAGGATTTATATTAATTTGTTATTTTTGGTTTTGATACTAATTAGTTTGAATCGAAAAAATCTGTTACAATGTCTTTACCTGGCATACTTCAATATCAAGAGAGAAAATGTGTAAGTCTGCCTTTGGTCAACATAAAACTTGTTGACAGTAAAATACGCTTGGAAGATGGCCATTTCTTTTCATCACTGATACAGATATGTTGTAAAAAGCAGTGGGAAATGTTAGGGGTGAAGCATTCTTCTTCTAGACACGGTTTTCGTCATTTGGAAAGCGGTGCTTAACATTTCGCGTATCAGGAATTCAGGCTGAGAGAAATATTATGTACAGAAATGTAGGCTCAGTTCAGGCAGAACTCAGAACTGAACCCTGGACTTTCTCATGTTTGTAAAGGTTCATTAAGCAGTTGTGCCATGGGATACAGGAAAATGAATTTTCTACAGAAGTTTTTCGTGGCAGTGGCAAAAGGTTTTAGTGTCAGTGACTAATTTGCTTCCCTTTTGGTTTTTGGTCGGGAATAAAATTTCTACCAGCTGTGAAGGAATTTTATAAACTAAATGACTAAATGAAGAGTATCAAAATGTCTCTGAAATTTTGGAAGTGGCTTCAAATATTCTTGTGAACTCAGAGAATGTGAAGAGTATAAGAGAAAAATGGTTCGAAGAAGAAAAAGAAAAAAAGAAGATATTTGTCTTACTATTGTCTCTTGACTTTGTAGTGCTTTAAATCAAAATTCATTTTCATAGACTTTGCGGTACATGTTTTGACAGTTCACACACATACAAGCTGCTATTGGTACAGGAACTTGCCACACGAAAGTGTTTTGTGTAGTAGGCGCTTGTATAGATTCGTATTTGTATTCCATGTTGACTATGTTGTTGATTGTACAATCATTTTGTAAAGAATAATTACTTTTTAATGATGTTTTTTGGAGTTTGCATTTTTCTTGAATCTTTTACTTTGTTGACAACACATTATACAAATGATTTTTAATCCTTTGTTACAACTTTGTTTGTTATATGGACTGAGCATTGTGCCAGACTGCTGAAAATAACCTTTGTTGTCTCAATTTGAACTCTGTTGTGCAAAATCGATGAACACGTTTTCAGCTTAAAAAGACGTATTGTTTTCAAATGCAGACTTCTTTGAGGAATTGAGTTTGTGAAGCAGGTGTCATTTGTTGCTTTATCGTACGTGTATATATAGATAAGTATGGACTTCAGGGATATGACTTTGGCACTGGAGTAACTTGAGAACTGTTGTATCATTATTCATTACTGTATTTTTTTTTTTCTCCCACTAATCTTTTGTGACACACGATGTACATACAAATAAGTCAGTGGATATTATTGTGTTTTCACACAGCAGAGGCAGGTGGAATTGTGCTGCTCATTGTACATTTGCCGGCTCACAATTAGATGTGCAGGTATTTTTTCCATACTCTGTTGTCATTTGTAAATTTTGGTCGTGAGCACCAGCCGAGCAAAATAAAATGTACCTTTAAAAGAATGTATTTTTACCATTAACTCCAGGTTTGATTGATTCAAATCTGAGTTTTTCAGGGTTAGCCGTTTGGCTGACTTACTGTACAACTTTAAAAGAGAAGTGGAGATAGAACAGCTGAGAAAGTGCCGATCAGTGAGTTGGAACCTAGTAGACTTGTCATTGTTTAAGGCTTGGGGGGGGGGGGGGTTTAAAGGTTGGGGGGGGGGGGTGATGTGTTGAGGGAAAGGGATGTGGTATTTAACTTGATTTTCTTTGTGTGTAAGCAATATTTTTTTCACTGTGTGTAGCAAGGCGATGTATTTTGTGGACCACAATTAATGTAGATATATTCTGATATGGGACTGTTCGTGTAAAATCAATTTCTTTGCTGTAACAATGCAGTACTGCATTCAAAATATGCGATGTAGGGTAGGGTGGAACTTGGAACACATGCTCCACTATTTGTTTACATTTGGGGGAGGGGGGGGGGTCTTTTCTTTTTTTCAAGCCAAGAAACAAATTGTAATCTTTTTTGTATTAAAATTATACCCTTGGTGCTGTTCACGTGATCTCTGATGTTGAGAAGATTGAGGGGGTGGGGGAGTTCTTTGATGATGATTTGGTAGCTTAGAGTCTCGGATACAGTTATGACCTCAAAAGAAAACTACTGAAATCTAACTTACGATGAAATCGCCTGTCTATATTGACAACATTTTCTGGATGTATCCCCAATTTTGCCAGCTTGTTATGTTAACCCTTTGAACCCTGGGCTTCTGAGCCTTATGGACTATACCACTGGGCTCCTAAGTAATCTCCTTGATTTTATAGGTGTATACTTTTCTGCAGATCACTTTAGTTCTGATAAAGGGGCAGCCCACACTGTATGCTTCTGAAGAAGTTAAGATTGTCTCAGAATGCTATCAGGTCTGCTTGGGTAATAACATAGATTGTACAGAGCAAAGAGCTTGCTGTTGAGCGGGAATTTGCGCTATACACACATGCTGTCTATTATTATTATTAACTATTTCTCTCTTTGGTTGTAATATCACTGTGCTGGTGTATATTGATGCTGCTGTTTCGTAATTGTTTTCTATTTCTGTAAACACAGGTCATATTTAGGTGGGTGTGTCATACCGATATTTCGGTACCCTAAGGGTATTTGCCACGTTGCGTTTACCTGATTTTTTCGGTACAGAGTGTTCAAAGAATTCAAAATAATAATGTTCACTAAGACAACTAGAACAATCTTTACATAGAGACGAATTTTGTTGGATATGAGGGAAAAAGTTCATTGAACTTGACATTAAAGGAAATCATACCTGAAAGGGCAGAGCAGTGTGTTACTGCTCAATGGAAATGCGATAAGTTAAGGTATTCATCTTGCTGTAAACCTACCGTAGAAGCTGTTTCAGTTTTGCAAAGCAGTATTATCTCTCTCTCTCTCTCTCTCTCTCTCTCTCTCTCTCTCTCTTTCTCTCTCTCTCTCTCTCTCTCCCTCTCCCTCTCCCTCTATCCCTCCCTCCTATCTGTTCTGTTCAGCAGGTTGATGTCTGGAGAGTGCATAACTAAGTTCATTTTAGTTAGTATCAAAGTTTTCACTTTTTTTTGTTTGTTAAAAGTGATAATTTCCCTGCAGATGATTTGACAGTTTGTGGATAATGAAGGTGATACTTGGAATGACAGAATTGTGTTGGGGTTGGGTGTTTTTCTTTTCTCAGTGATGGGAGAAGTGCAGTGTGCTGGGGGGGTTTTTCTGGTCTCAAATCTTGCAGTTTGTTGCTGAAAGTCTGTATATATATTTGTTCATCGTCCAAGTGTTCTTTTTTTTTTTTTTGGTCTTCTTCATTCTGCGCAAAATGTTTTGATCAAACAAGTTTTCTTCTGTATTTGCATGTGTACAAATTTTCATTGTCATAGTCTTGAGTGAGCACCGTTTTTCTTCCCCAATGTATTGGGGTTTTCAGCAGAAGAAAAACGTGGAAGAAAATAATCGTTTTGATGGGTGTTTTTTTGTTTTTTACTGATCTCTTAATGGACATTAAAGTTTGCCCATGACTGAAATTTTATTAACTTTTTCAGCAGTTCCCAGTTTATGCCACAAAGAAATATTATTTATGATTGGTTATTATCATGTCCTGAATTCTTTTCTACATATGTATGGAGGTAAGAAGCCTAAATATGACTAAAATCAGTTGTAAGGGTAAATGAGAAGTAGAAAGACTTGCATGGGCTTTGCTGTAAGGGCCTATTACATGTACAGGCCGACTGGACAGGTTTCTGGGCCGTACGGCCAATCGTAGCGTGTAATAAATGCTGCTCAAACCGTAGGTGAACACCCGGCGAATAGTCGGCCACCCGGATGTAAACAACCCACAGCCGCTGCCTGTGAATTTGACATCCGGCCTGAAGGGAGTGCCGACTACCTTTGAAGTTCGCTGCGCTGGGGACAACAGAACTAATTTCAAAATTATGGAAAATCACGTCGTAGTTAAAAAATAATACCAGATTCAGAGTCAAGTGTATCAAAATTAGGGAAATGGCTCGCGAGTGCCTTATTTCGTTTTGTGTTTAGGGATTTTCCATTCCTCTTATTTTTATGTTTTGCGCGCCATGATGCACACACGTGTTTGGAGTTTTACCCAGACTAGACCTAGTGTGTAGAATACGTTGCTCGCGAGGTGCAGCTGCCTTCAGATCAGTTGTGGCGTGTAATAATAAACCAAGTTTCCTTGATTTCGTCTGGTCGTATGGCTTGCCTACAGTCAAAAACCTGTCCGGTCGGCCTGTACAAGTAATAGCCCTTTAGATTTATTAAATATGGCTCATGAATGTTGATTTTATTACAGAAGCTGCCTCATAGCTAATGGAAAAAAAAGTAACATTTCTTGTTGGTGTATAGAGACTGCCTTTTTTCTGTAGCTGATTAGTAAGTGTAAGAGTTGAAAAGCCCCTATCAACGCTATTAAGTTATTTAACCCTTTGCAGTCACACAGCCAGAAGTACAAAATACCCCATCTGGTCACCCGGCCAGGAGAGCGACTGCAAGGGACTTCTCGGGCCTGACAAAGCGCCAGGTGACCAGAAGGGATAGTTTTCACCGTCGCATTATTGCACCAAGTGACCGCAAAGTGTTAAGAGGCAGGACCTCTGAATTTAAAGTCCGTCTCCGGTAGGACTGAGCCAAATTGGTTGAGAGCTTTGAAAAATCTGTAAAACTGCCCAAACTTGAAAACACCTAGTCTGGGATTCAAACCAGGGCCATGTGCTCCGTTGACCAGCATGATATTATCAACTGAGCTAATGGAGCTCCCGTATTGCTGAATGAGAAAAAGAACATGAATTGTTGTTGATATGCATATCAACAAGTGTTGATATGCATATCAACAAGAAATGTAATTTTTTTCTTTCAGCGAAAGAAACAAGGTAGCCTCTATGCTGAAATCAACATATTTGGTCCACAGTATACAGAAAAAGTATGAGAAAAGTCAGGTTCAGAGCATTGTCTGAAACAAACTGGCAAGTTAAGATGCAATCGTCAATATATGCAAATTTGCAGGCAGATCTAATGCATTTTGAAGAACAATCTTGCGGATACCATTGAGTGACTTAAAATGTCAACGTATGTATTTCAACTGGACAGGATGAGTCACATGTTGCATTTGGACGTTATTATAATGCTGTAGTTATCAAATTGGAAGCTCCGTTTAAAATTGAAGATCTGTTCAAGCCTAACACATGGGTGAAAACAATTTCTTCAGTCAAGCTACTTTCATTCCAAAGTTCTAGTTTCTATGAAGATGGGTTGGTACGAAACACACAGATAGGTTTAAGAATATTACGGTTTTGGCCCCATATCTCGAAATGGCTGAAAGCGACAAGCGATTCATTTTGTCAGGTTGCTACACATGTTGTTTTGTAAATCTCATTTTTTCACTGATTGGATCACAAAAATAGTCTTTGTGCGTCTTGTTTTTTTATATATGTGAACACTGGGATCTATTAGGTGGGGGGGGGGGGGGGGGCTGTTTTTTGTTTTAGAGGTAATCTTGAGTTGGCATTTACAAAATTTCTTCAGATGCTGTTTCTTGTTTTGATATTAATTATATGTTCTGGAAAGGTGTCTGATTTTGCGTAACAATATGCTACATACATTTTTGAGAGAGACTTTCAGTATTTTGCTGTTTTGCAGAAAAGA